AGAATAAAAGAATTTCAAATGAAGCTGTTATGTGTATCATAAATTTGAAAAATTTGAAAATTTTTCATTATTTATACATCCAATTAAGTATACGTTTTTAATAGTGATTATCCAAATACTTATTATTATTATGTTTTTAATTTAACTTGACAAAGACGAAATGTTTGGCATTATTAGTACTGTCGCGAATTCTTAAATATTATTAGATTTTAATTTAATATTACTTTTGTAGCGGAAAAAATAAATTATCTTAAGTGATCTAAAATTACAAATTTTCCTTGATCGCAATTTTCAAAGACTCGTTCGCGGCAATTCGGGTATATCACCAACATCAATACTTACGACATGAAACACCAGGGAATTTAATTAACGAAAAATGCTTTGACTAGCGAATCACAAAGTTCATAGCGAACTGAACGAACAAAAGGAATGATTTTTCTTCCCCGACTTCGCGCAATATGACAGAATAGCTCGTAAAAGCAAGACTTCAAAGAAATTAATAAAAAGAGCGTCTAAAAAAAGAGGTAATAGTATTTAAAAATTATAAATATCGCCATATCTAAACAAACTCAATTTACTCATCGGTAATGTCGCGACGATTTCTTTTTTACTTTGTTTCTTCATTTGCATTTCGCTTACTGCGAGTTAAAATCCAATTTTAGCCTCCATCCGGATGAAATTACGAATGCGCAACCTTTTAACAGAGCTAAAAAGAAACGCGATACTTGCGATTTAATTAAATCATAAAATATGACGACTGAGCGGTGGTAATTAAGTATCCTTTTAGAGGGTTTTAAGTATCCTTACTGATATACCAATTTACTCTTTCACGTCGTACGTCGCGGAGACACTTATCCCACATCCCGAGATGCATTTTATCCCGGTGGCCGCATATGTGTCCTTCCAAGACTGCAGTTTACACTATGGTACTTTGAAATTTAATTAACGAGCGTATCGACCGTAAGTATTCATCGAACATCAAACCAGATCGTCTTATGTTTCAATCATGCGTGATCGATGTATTAAGAAACAATGAGCGGTTAAAAAAGAATGGATCATGTATAACCGGTCGAAATACGATTTAATTTGTAGCTTTAATTCACAAATAGTCGCGTTCCTCATACATTACAATTTTGCAATTTTCAACGTGTCAAATATCTTTATAATTAACACAGTTTTTCGTAAATTAATTATAAATACATTTAACTTCTCTTTGTCTTCGTTAGTTAAGATGTCCAATTTCTCTTTAATTTGATTAAAGAATAATAACTTCTAAATTAATATTTTTTTAATTTAATGAAATAAAATAAAATAAAAAAATTAGCTGGGCCAGTCGTAATAAAATCTATTTGTTACGCGCTTCACCTTATACAATTTGTGTAATTTTATTCTAAATCATATCCTGCGAAAATTGTACAAGGCAATACGAACAAAATTTTTTCATTGTATTTTTTTTTCTCTTGCATTTCACTCATCCAACTCGACATTAGTTACGGCCGAGTTAATTTTATTATTGTAACGACGAACACATTGCTGACGACGAACACACGTGAGTAAGAGCGCGTAATTCCGGTCCGAGATATTAATAATGGTATTGTGAGCTTCAAATCTGAATTTCGAGAACATTGTCCGCGCGTTCGCGACCAACGTCACGCGCTGTCCTCTATACGCGTAAATTATGCACAAACCGTGATCATTAAAAATTTATTAAACACGGTTACAGCGTTCTCGGGGTTCAAAGAACATTATCATGCGCGCTTTGCAAGTCGCTCATTACAGAAGACAATTACGTTGTCTTCCTGTTCTTTTCACCGAGACGGACAAGGCAGAAAAAAAGATGAAGCGACAGATGATATATAATGACATCGCAAGTCATAAAACAACTGTCGTGTACTTGCAATTTACGTAATTTTTGATGTATTTTGTCGCACGCATCGATAACGAAAAGATCGAAGACCAAGTGATAAATCGGTGCACACTCTAAACATTCAAAGCTCAACACATCATAAAATAGCGCAATGTTCCGAAGCATACTGAACTCATTTAAAAATATAATCACTTCATTTTCCATGCGATTCCAAAACGCTCAATATAAACGTTTCTATAATAAACAGTTTTCATTAAAATTTTATCATGCGCAGGTTATAATATGAGAGCGGAATAATTATATGTGTATTCATTATATTCCTGATGATCTGCAGAACCTAACAAAAATAATTTAGAGGAGAGATCTGCACGTGAAATGCGCACGCTTTTATTATAATAACCCGATATACGCGTGTGCGTGATCGGCCGTCCTTTGACGCCGCCGCGTATCTCTATTAAATCAATATTTATAACGGCATCGGCCCAAGCCGTGACATAATAACCCGACGTAATTTTAATTAGCATTATTGCGCAAGATGTTCGACCGTATCGAAACAGGCTTTTAACGAGGGTAGTTTACGAGTATCGAATTACTTTACGGAGATTAAAATCGCCGCCTAACGAGGTCGCCCGGTGGTATAAATCGCTGTCTTGAAGATCTTCACGCCGCGCATGTCACAAGGAAAAATATAGAAGAGAGAAAAAAAGGGTTGGAAGAATGATCATTAGTATACATGACGACGAAAAAAAAAACAGATAAGACGGATATTAGTCAGGGGATCAAAGAGAAAAGGTAATGTGTACGCATAATATCTGGCGTGCTCGTTAGAGACGAGAGACGATTATTTCACTTGTTCATCTCGGCGAAAATGTAGAAAATAATGGAGAATGACGACGCAGAGCGAGCGAGCGTGAGTGACTCTTTTACTGGTATAGTTAACTTTTAGACTCACAAAGAATATTAGACTTCGCTCCCTCTGGACAAACTGTAATCTTTGATTACGTAATACGATATAATATCGTAAACGTAACATAAGAAATGAGAATCTGCGTTGGAACATTGCAGAAATAAAGACCCTTGCTATTAATGCACACCAAGCAATTAAAAGCGAATAATATGCGAACGAAGAAAGAAGATTTGTAAAATTGCAAAAGTAATGTAAGGATCCGCGTAAATCTTTTCACGTATTTTTTAATTAAAATTTCTCTCTCTCTCTCTCTTTCTTTTTCTCTCTCTTTCTTTCTCTCAGCAAACATGAGTACAAAATGTAAAAATTTACAGACTAAACGGAAGGTTATTTCTAAGCTTGGTATATATTGTATAATAATTTCAATATTCGAAACTCAGCAACTATAATAGACGCGGCAACAAATTATCTTAAAACTAATGAAAGATTGCAGGTAAAAAATTAAAGAAAACAACAGCATGGATTAATAGCGTAGTTGTCATTTGTATTCACGCGCATAAATGATATCGTTAAAAATTTATTAATCATGACCGAGAACGCGAAGATCAAAGCACAGAAAGTAGGTAGTATGTATGCTCATTATTCGGCGCATGCCGTGCTCGTTAGGATAGGATAATTCGATCCACTCACCTCTACGAGGGTGATGAGGATGATGAAGAGAGGTGGTGGACAGCATGTGTAGTGATCGGCGTAGTATTTTCGGTCCCGCTCCTCCGTGAGGAATTCATCGCCGATCATGCGGACCATCCTGAAAGCACAAACAAATCGCAATAAAGTTTAAAATCATATACAACAATGCACGCGTTAAATTAATGTGAATATAAAACTATATATATTCTATTTGATATATACAAAAGCATATCTCCTCCTTTTATTTCCTTTTTCAAATATATAAAACGATCTTTTTTATCAAATAAATGTGCTGTTATCTAATTCGATTTATGCAAACAATACTGATAAATTTTGTATTATAATAATAATGTGCATATCAAAAAATGATAACTACTTGTGTGTAAATCGAATTTATTCACATTACTGCGAGAAGCATCTACCAAATATAATATGTAATTTTCCATTAATTGGTTCATTGTACCGTGTAAAAATATCATGCAACTATAATTATTATGTATTAGCAAATAAATTATTCCCTTGTCGCTAGAGGTAAATGTGTTTTTCAAGATGAAATTCATAATAGTATTTTATGTACACTATTGCTATACTGTGCGCCAATATAAACGCAATCGAATATTTTCAATTAAACTTCATCATAGTTTCATTTCGGAAGAGTTCAACACGGAAAAAATAACCTGCGCGCGATCGAATCTTTTGAGCCAAACTTCGCGAAACGACTTCGTTTTATGTGCGTTGGACATAAAAAAAAATATATAAAACAACCGATCTATAAATTGAATGTAAACGCGGTTATATTCCCACAAAGTAATCTATATAGTATTTACCTAAAACGTACAACCAGCATTTACTTCAATAATTTTTGCTCTTCCGAAAAGTTTTTTAAATGAACGAGAGTAATAGTTACAGCGTGTTTGATTACACCGCGCGAAATACAAATAATTCGAAAAATTCCAGCTGTTCTTTTGTGGGACATTAATAACCAAACGATTTAGTGAAAACATTCGACAGATATCTAAATTCAAGATGGCGATCAAAAAAATAATTGTTCATCCAGAAATGTTTTCATTAATTCAGGTTATTCTATTGTTCCAATTGGTAATAACTCGATACAATAGCGCAGAGTGAACAAAGTCATCATTTTGAACATTGTTATTTTGGAAAGCATCTTTTCGTTCGCGTCGTTGATAACAGCGCCGGCTGCCTTGTAGCGCTATTGTTGTTACAATTTCATGTTGCATCTATCAACGAATGAATACTCGGAGTTAGAATGCGCATGTAATCGGTAAACGCTACAGTAACAAGTTACATTCAGGCAATTAAAAAAAATTTTTTTCTCCACCTCGTCGGATATGTATCCGTAAACTAAAATTTATAACGTAATCGAGTTTAATTAATGAGAATGTAATTGGAGGTTTAAATTTACGAAGTTCTATTTCTAGAACGGACAGACGAAAAGTATAAACGCGGAAAACTTAATTGCGCGCACAAACAGACAAACATCACGAAAAAAAAGCGCGTAATTGTGCTTAACAATAATGTAGTTGAAACAAAAATGACACGCCGCAAACGTTAAAGAGAAAATTTACCTAGTTTATAATTTACTTCGCGAAAATTAAAATTTTGTAGGAATTTAATATTTATAATATTGTTTAATAATTATAGTATATTATAATCATATGTATACATAAAATATAACCATCAGATTTATACGATTCCAAAGCCGGGATTCAAGACAGGGTTTCATTTAAGTGATCACTTAAAAAATGGGGCTACATTTTTTGCACAAGACTACATAACTTGAAAAATAATCTGTAGAAAATCTTTCAGAGAGTATTCTGAAACTAATCGCCAACCTTCTGTAGCAATTTTAGTCTTACGAGGCGCCTCGTTAATCGTCGCCAGGGGTAGCGAAATAATGAGGAATTAACTTCGGTGAACCTCCTCCGCTGGTCGATTCGCGAAGAAAAGAAAAATACTCTCGCGAACAATTACGCGCAAACTCTCTGTTACCTATAGCCTTCATTATCTTAGAGTATTCTTTTCCTTTCATTTACGACTTTCGTTACGAATGAACGCCTGGAGGAAACATTGCCGGAAAATCCTTTCTAAAGAATAGCAGTAAGTGGCGATAAAAGATTCTTTGCATACAAATGTTAGTTATTTCCCGACAGTTGTTTCAATTCTCCATTTTTTATAGTGTCATCAAATCATTTTGGATTTGAATTTTCCCAAAATGAGTTCCTTACATATAAAAGATTTCATAAAACTATTACACGAAATATAGTATTAAATTCATAATGTTAAATTATACTTAATTTGAGTTATTTTTAATCATTTCTATAGGTCGTTTCTAATCAATACCAGGTATGTAAATATGAAACCGGAATTTACCAATAGATGGCCATAGCTGTCAATGTAGTTGCCGACAAACGGCGCCATTGACGCCATTTCCTTGTTTTGACATCTGACAAAAATTTTCAACTCACAACAATACAAGTTTCATACAACAGTATAGTTTGTAATACCGTTGAACAACGTCGAATTTTATGCCTGGAAACTACGATTTGCGGACAGCATTGATTTTCTGTTATCCATTTGAAGAAAACTGCTGCAGAATCGCATCGAATGCTTGTCGAAGCTTACGGTGAACATGCTCTTGGTAAATCACAGTGCTTTGAGTGGTTTAAAAAATTCAAAAGTGGCGATTTTGACGTGAGAAACGAAGAACGTTGAAAACCACCGAAAAAGTTTGAAGACAGCGAATTGCAAGCATTGTTGGATGAGGATGACGCTCAACAACTCGCGGATCAATTGAATGTGACACGAGAAGCCGTCTCCGTACGTTTGAAATCCATGAGAAAGATCCAGAAGATCGGAAAATGGGTTCCACATGAACTGAATGAAAAACAGCAAGAAAACCGAAAAACCACTTGCGAAATGCTGCTCGCCAGGTACAAAAGAAAGTCATTTCTCCATCGAATTGTGACTGGCGATGAAAAGTGGATATATTTTGAGAATCCTAAGCATAAAAGATCATGGGTAACTCCAGGCGAACCGACATCGACTGCAAGGCCAAATCGCTATGGAAGACAATGCTCTGTGTTTGGTGGGATCAGAAAGGTGTGATCTATTATGAGCTGCTGAAACCTAGCGAAACCATTAATACTGAACGTTAACAACGCCGACAACAAATGATCAATTTGAATCAAGCTTTGTGTGAAAAACGATGGGAATATCAAAAAAGGCAACATAAAGTGATTTTACTTCATGATAATGCACCATCACACACAGCAAAACTGGTCAAGGAAACGATTGAGGCATTTGGTTGGGAAATACTTTCTTCCGCATGCGGCTTACTCACCAGACTTGGCTCCGTCCGATTAACACTTATTTGCATCGATGGGACACTTGCTCAGCAGCGCTTCACTTCTTACGAAAATATACGAAAATGGCTAGATGACTGGTTTGGCTCAAAAGAGCAACAATTTTTTTTGGCGTGGCATCCATAAATTGTCAAACTACCGATGGGCAATACTTCGAATAAAATATTTTTTATCATTTTCATGCAATAAACGTATATTTTCTATTAAAAAATTCCGGTTTCATATTTACATATCATTAATTTTTGTCTATAACAATAAAGTTAAACAATTTAACTAAAAAAAATGTATTCAAATTTAGTTTATTATTTATTAAGTGTATACATTAATGTTGTCTACTTTGGAATTAAACCGCAGAAATGAATTTAATTTACATTTTGACATGGAAGTTAAAAATAACAAAATGTTATTTGATCCGATTGGGCCATCCATGATATCCAGTATAATAAATAGATACATGTCACAGAAAATCATTTTTTCGAATTGCTGTAATCGTAATAATTATAAGTTCTCAAAAAAGGTTTCGCATGTCAAAATAAAAAATCCAAAAAGTTACAAGTTTCTTTGAACTTAAGCACTATTCATTTTCCCCGCTTTTTTTCGTTTCGATCGTGACGGCGACGACAATGAACAACGATGGAGCGGATAAAATAATGATCGAGACGAGGCCGTCGGTTAAGCATACAAACGACACTGATAAATCGACTACGCTGATCGCGGGTCGTAGAAAAAAATTCGATATTACATACGAGCATGGTAATAAAAAACACAATCTAAATTCGGACGTGGCGCGAAGGGAAGGCGGCACGATGAGGAAAGTGGCGCGAGTGGTACGGTGTAAGCGCCCTTATACCTGACTTCTCTCCGCGATGCTATCTCTCCCGTTACGTAAGAGCGTAGAATAATTACGAAGAAATATTGGCCCGTAACTCAGTCCACTATCCATAATATCTGCAACGTTTATGGCGCCAGGGAGATAAACCATCCTCCCGTCTCCCGCTATCTGGTGGCGCGTGCGCCACCGCTGCGACCGCACCACCACCGTTTCGATTCGCTTCTCGGTTGGATTTCGAGATGCACGTGCGGATGGTGAGTACTTGTGCACGCTGAGTACTTACAGCACATGCACTTACGTGACGGCTGGCGCGCACGAGTACTGCGATCGGATTGATCAGCGATTAGTCGAAGCACGAGCATTTGATTTCATTTTGCCTGAAGACAAGTTAAAGTAAAACGTTTAACACGATTTAAACTTGTAAAATTAAAACTTCACAAATTTTAATTTGTTTAATTAGACATGAAATTAACTTCCAATGAATTGAGCTGTTGACAGCATAATTAAATTCATTTACTAATATTGAAGTATCGCAATGTATCTGCATATAAAGTAAAATTATATAATATATTTTTTATATTTTATATCTGATATTTTTATGCAAATATTATAACAATATTATAACATGAGCGATATATTATAACATTAATTTTTTTCTTAATAATCGATATAACAAATAATGTAACAAATAATAATATAACATATAAAAATGAGAATTTTCAATTTATTTTCAATAAGAAACAGTAGGAAATAAGATTTTAAAGATTTGTTAAATTTATGTAATTTAAACAAAAAAATCCCATCTTTTATATCGACTTTATTTTGCCAATTTTCATTTATTAATTTTATTACATTGATAAAATATTAATATATTCCATGACAGTTGTATCATGGATATAA